AGCAGTGACCACACAGCCTCCAAGCAAATGGGTACCACAGCTTGGAGGGTGAGGATGGGTCACTGGGGTGAGTGGAAAGGAAAACTTGGTGAAATCATGAGCGAAACGGCTCCCGGGAGGCTCTGAAGTAGATGGTGGCATTTTCTATCCCTCTCCATGACTTTGCTATTTTCTTTAAACGTTAACAGTTTCACGTGTTGATATCTCTACGTAGGAAAGCCCATCTCTGATGCCTCTCAAATGCCAGTTGTTGTACTAATTATTAAAAATTGAAATTTATCAGCTTAATAGAAAAATAAGAGTTTTATTCCTCCTCCTGGGCACATGGTCTCCTCTTGAAATACAATTTCCCTCCAAGGCTGCTGGGGTGCTCCTCCATTGCACTGTCGTGTACCTGTAGGCGACACTTAGCATTCCCAAGGCGTTTTCTTAAGGTCAATAAGAATTAACTGTAAATTTAATTAAAGTTTCCAATGCTTGTGCTGTAGTGGAGCATAACAGAAGCCTGGTCTGCTCTTTGCCAGTTTAAGCCAGATCTGGAGGGAGACAGGGGTTATCAATAATTAACTGGGGTAATTTAGGGGAAAGTATTAGGGAGTTAATGAAAGTGTGAAATAGCGTAATTATCTTGCAAGTAATTGGGAGTGATTGAGCTGCTGAGGAAGAGGAGGTGTTGCACAATTAACTGCTCGGAGGCTGCTGTTCCCCACGCGGTCCCGGGATGACGTTGGGACCCGGCTTCTCTGCCACCACCCTGACCCCAGCAGCTGGTGGCTCCGCATTAACTGAGCGCGGGATCGAGGGTTTAAAACCAAGTCAGCGGCATCCAGCCCACGGGGGGTCATGTACCTGTCGTTCCTGTTGGAAACAAAGCTGTAGATGTGTTGGAGCCTGTTCGAGGGTCTGCCTAAATGAGAGAGAGCTTATGGCTCTGATGGAGCAGCCTTGGGGGGTTTTTGCATGGGACATCGCTGCCCCATTGCTGTCCCCAGTGAGGGGACCGAGTATGTGGCTGTGCTGGTGAGGGGAAAGGTCTGTGCTCCCTACCACAGATCATAGGATTGGGAGCCGGTTGCCACTGCTACAGCGGTACCTGTGCAAACAGAGTTGGGAATCCCTGCCCCAACACGGGCTTTTATTAAAAATTTTATTTCAATTAAGCCTAGGATGGTGTGGTTGGCTTTAATTAAAGCTGGTGCTGCTCCTATGTGCTGAGAAGCCCTTGGTCAGCAGGATGAGTGCAGGGAAGGTGCTGGTACTGCTGGGTGCGGGTCTCCTGGGCTGCCTGCGGTGAGTGGGGTCCTGGGGGTCCCCCTGCCCCACAGACCCCTTAGGGACAGCCTCGGCACTGTGGGGCTCAGCCTGGCCCTTGCTGTCCCTCTGCAAAAAGGAAGAGGGGGGGTAAAATGGCTTTTGTTGAAATATTTTGGCAAAACCTTTGCTGGGGCATCCAGACTCACGTTGTTTTTCATGGGTGCTGTGTCAGGGCTCTTGGAGAGCACCGCTGTTGCAGGGGCAGCTCATAGGTTTCCTCTCTGGTTTATGTTCTTGGGAACACCATGGTGGCAACTGCAGCAAACCCAAACCATCGTGTTTTACGAAAGCTGAGCACAGCCATGAATTCCTGAGCTCAGGTACAATTGGTGCTGGTTTGTGGAGCACAGGCTGAGAAAATTGACTCTCCAGGCTCTTCGATCACATCATCCCAAGTGTTTGCTGTTTGATAATAAACATTTTATTGCCCATTGAGGAGAGTGACAGTTTTAGGTTTTAAGCCCATGTTTGCTGAGAGAGGGTTTTGGGTGTGTGAGCAGTGCAAGGAAGGAGCTGTTTTGCTGTACAGAAATCCCGGTGGCATCCAGGGAAGCGCTGCAGAGTGGCAGAAATGCCTCAACAAGTCGCCTGGAGAAGCTGCATGAAGCAGCCTGGCAAACCCTATGGCAGGTTTCTGAACATAATTAGAATTAAACATACTTTGCTGGCTTGGCTCGGGTGGAGGTGAGGCCCAAGCAGCAGGTTGGAGGTGTGCGAACAGCAGCATTTGGAGATGTGCGGTTGGTTTTTGCGTTGCTCCAGGCAAGCGCAGCAGGGAGGGGATGGGGTGTGGGGTGCAAGGGCCTGATCCTGGTTTGGGAGGGCATTTACCAGCAGGAACGCCGGCAGTCAGCCCCTCTGGTGAGCGTGGTTATTTGGGGCAGGGGGGAAAGGTGCTGAAAAGGTTGGGGAAAGCACCCATCACTGCCCCCAGGACGCATGTACCCCCATGTACCCCCGAAGGGCATCCCACCTGCCCGGGCGCTGCTGGTGCCAAATGGAGAGGCTGGGCTGTCGAGTGGTGATGCTGGGGATGAGAAGTGGCTCTGAAAACACTGGCACTGTCAAAAAAAAAAAAAGGCGAGGCGCG